TGGCTTGACCCAGAAAACTGTGGGGATGTTATAAAGAAAAGTTGGGAACCATAGGTGAATGATCCAAATCTGTGTACAATCAGTAAGAAACTGAAAGAGTGCAAACANATATCGTTTGAAGTTTGAAGCAATGTGGCTTGACCCAGAAAACTGTGGGGATGTTATTAAGAAAAGTTGGGAACCTTAGGTGAATGATCCAAATCTGTGTACAATCAGTAGGAAACTGAAAGAGTGCAAACGGTCTTTTGGAAATAACAAAAGAGTGCAGTGCCAACCTTGATAATTAGAGCAAACAGTCTTTTGGAAATAACAAGAAAATTTTGGCAGAACTCCAAACTAAGTTAGCAAAAAAATAAAAAAAACAGAGCCCACTGTCCAGAATCTCAGCAATGAAAGGAAGATTTAGGCTCTTTTGGGTGAAATCAGGCATCAAGAAGAAACATATTGGTAGCAGAGGTCCATAATTAAATGGCTCAAGGCAGGCAACCAAAATATGAGATTCTTCCATTTGTCAACAATCTAGAGGCGCCAGAGAAACCAAACTCTCAAATTAAAAACCTCTGAGGGGGAATGGATTGAAGAGGAAGATGGTATTAATTCACATGTGGCTGAGTACTTTCGGAGTCTATATGAGTCAACTAGAGAACGAGATTTTGGGGAAGTTATAAAAGCTATTCCAAGGATAATTTCTGAGAATATGAATGCCACCCTCCTAAGTCCCATCATTGAGAGTGAAATATACAAAATGACGAAGCAGCTAAGAGCCCTAGAAGCCCCAGGGCCTGACGGTTTCCTAGGGATCTTCTACCAAAATACATTGTGGGAAAGGAAGTATGCAAAACAGTCCAAAGTTTTTTCTCAGAAGAAGAAGTGCTCCGGAAGACCAATTTAACCAACATAGTTTTGATACCAAAAGACCCAAACCCAGAGTCTATGTCCCAATTTCGCCCATCTCTTTGTGCAATTTCCATTACAAGATAATCTCCAAGGTATCAAGCAACCTTCGTTCCTTATTGCCAAATCCAAGATAGTATCCTTGTCATAAATGAGGCATTTCATGCTATGAAAATAAATAGAAGGGGATCAATCAACTCCATGACCATCAAACTTGATTTCAACAAGGCCCACAATTGGGTTGAATGGGATTTTCTAGAGGATATCTGAACGAGGTTGGGACTAAACTCAAGTGGGTGAATTTGATTCTTCAGTGAGTTAGTACTGTTAACTACGAGATGGTGACTAATGAATCAGTTCGCTTCAAAGTAAAGCCACAACAGGGGTTTAAGGTTAAGGAGATCTGAATTTCCCCTTACTTATTCCTAATTGTGGCCAACGCCTTATCTAGAATGATCCATAGAGACGTTAGCATAAGGAAGATTTTTGGTCTGAAAATAAGGATGAGAAGTCTTATTATTTCCCACTTATTTTTTGCTGACGATTTTCTTGTTTTTCTCAGGGCTAATGAACACGAAAGTCACCAACTAAAGAATACACTATCTACATATTGTGAGGCTTCGGGTCAAATCATAAACTTCCATAAGTCTGGGGTTCTGTTTTCCAGTAATACACCAGCTGGACAGATGAGCTACCTAAGTGAAATCATGAGCATGGAGCCCCTCCCAAGCTCTGCTAAATACTTACACATTCCATGCTTTTGAGGGTGCTCGAAAACACAATATCTCAACTATATTGTGGANCCAAGCTCTGCTAAATACTTACACATTCCATGCTTTTGAGGGTGCTCGAAAACACAAAATCTCAACTATATTGTGNCGAAGAGGCCTTTTGGGATTGGAAAATGTTATGATTACCAAAAAAATGCTGTGATACTACTTTTGTCATTAAATATTAATAAGATCTATTTATCTGATGATAAAAAATTATACCACATCATTTGAAATAAAAATTTAATAANATGAGCATGGAGCCCCTCCCAAGCTCTGCTAAATACTTACACATTCCATGCTTTTGAGGGTGCTCGAAAACACAATATCTCAACTATATTGTGGAGAGAGTTATTTCCAAAGTCCAAGGCTGGAAGGAAGGTTTCCCTCTCTCAGGCGGGTAAGGAGGTGTTAATCAAATAGGTAGTCCAAATCATACCTTCCTATGCTATGTCCCGATTTTTTTTTTACGACAAACTTATGTCTCTTATTCGACGTTCCTGGTGGAGTAAAAATTATAATTCTAAAGGGATCTCATGGAGAAAGTGGGAAGAGCTCACTCAATAGAAGGCACTAGGAGATCTGAGATTCAGAGACCTCCATTGCTTTAATCAAGCACTTTTGGCGAAGTAAAGTTGGCACCTCATTCAAAATCAGAATTCCTTTTGGGTCCGGATTATGAAGTCTATATTTTCCCCAATTCGGACTTCCTAGAAGCCAAGAAAGGTGCAAGACCTTCCTGTATGTGGAGCAGTCTATTGGAGGCAAGAGAGTAATTGAAAAAGGGTCTAAGGTGGCAAATTCGAAAAGGGGACATAGTTAACTTTTGGAGGACAAGTGGATTCCTACTATGCCCAGCTTCTCAATCAAATCCCCAAAACCAATAGGCTGCGGAATCAATCTTGTCAAGGATGGAATATATGAAATTTTGAAGGATTGGAATACGACTCAACTCAGAGCTATAGTTAGCAAAGAGGAGCGGCAAGGAACTCAGACAATTTCCCTTACGAAGTCATCTGGGGAAGACACCCTCATCCAAAAGGCTACTATACAGTGAAGTCGGGTTACATGGTGGCTAGAGAGCATAAACAAAGAATCAAGGAACTAAGGGGGCTGCTCTTCGTCTATGCTACCTCCTAAGTTGTGGAATATTATTCGACAACTAAGAATGACTCCAAATGTGAGACATATTTGGTGGAATGCACGCTCTAATTCTCTAGCAACTCAAGAAATCCTTACTTTCTGGACATTGTGTGGCCTCTCCAATATGTCAGATCTGCGAGAAAGAGATTTGAGTCTGTGAAACACCTATTTTTCTCTTGCAGCTGGACACACAAAGTCTGATTTGATCAGGAAAGATTCTCCTCAGTTCGGCAATGGACGGTAGATTTAATGAAAAATATGGAGAAGTATCCTCAAGTAATGGAGGTGTTGAGCACAGTTGCTACAGTTGGGTGGACAATAGAAACGAGGCAATCTTCCAAAAGCTTCCTCCTAACCCTATGACTGCAATCCATAGAGTTGAATTCAGCAGGGGAGAACTGCGACATCTATCAACACAAAATCTAACTCATCCTGGAAGTCAAGTTCAAGGGAACAGCTTAGTAATATTACGGTGGCAAGGCCCCCTCCCAATCAGGTGAAAATTAATTACGATGGCGCTTTTATACCTAACTCCAACAAAGCTTCAATAGGAGTTATACGCAGGAATGATAAAAGGTCTAATGCTTCATGGAATAACATACTCCATTCCAGCGGTATCTAGTCTTTATTCAGAAGCTGTAGCCTTGCGGGAAGCTTGCTTGATGGCCCAACCCAAACTCTCCACTTTCAGTTCAAAGTTCTCATCTCTCTATGCTCCGGAGAAGACATCCCTCCTTGACCAACAATTTTAGTCTTCATCTAGTGCACCAGCCTCGTGTCTCCAATGGTGTAGCCACTAGTTGGTCAAAGCTTCTGCCTCTTTTACTTTACCTTAGAACCGGTCTCTAATCCTCTAGATGTGGTCAAGAAAATCCTTCTAGCTGATTGTAACATCTCTCCAGTTGTTTGAATGAAAATCAGTTTTCCTTTTCCCAAAGGTTACACGTGGCGGGAAGAGAAAGGTGACAGTTAGTAGTTTTCCTTTCCCTCTTTTATCTGCACCTTGGACTTATATCAACTTCTAATCTGGGTGCGTCGAGGATGTTCTTCCGGCTCACGGAAGTCGGTGTAAACGAAACAAACCCTCTCGTTTCCTTCTCTAGCAGTAGCAAAGATCACAAGGCAAAGCTTCACCCCACCCCTGAACGTGGCACTCGATCGAACTGTGACCTTTTCAGAAAAAAAGCTTAACACTAATTCGAAGAGGCCTTTTGGGATTGGAAAATGTTATGATTACCAAAAAAATGCTGTGATACTACTTTTGTCATTAAATATTAATAAGATCTATTTATCTGATGATAAAAAATTATACCACATCATTTGAAATAAAAATTTAATAAAAAAATTTAATAAACATAAAATTACCCTTTGGGATTTTAAAGTGGGTCTAGAGCTAGAGTGATTAGAACGCCAGGCACAATGAGTTACCACCATGTTCATGAAGAGGTCTACCCTCCACCACCAGGCAACTAATTGATCTCTCCCCCCACCCCCACCCCAAACCAAAAAGAACAGAAAACAAAAGGAACTGTGATGCGTTGTGCTAATTGCTAATTGCATAAAATGGTTGTTAGTAGACTAACCAGCCTACAACCTACAACATAGTGGCACATAAGAAGATCAGAGCAGCATATGCTCTGGGTAATTACAAAATGCAAAGTATTTGATATTTCGAAGAGATTGTGACAAAGACCTGGTAACAGAATTCATACAACACAGACCAAAAAAAAAACAGAATTCATACAACTCTCCAAACTGCCAAGTAATGGTTACAAGACATCATCACTTCAAAATTCAACAAGGAGTACTCTCCAACTCCCAGAGAAAACAGTGCGAAAAACAGTAAAAACAAGAAACAAAAAAGCGAGGAGAAAATGGAATGGAAGGCAAAACCTCCTCAATGTGCAGCAAATATTCAACCAGTGCTCAGAATCTCCTATATGTAAATAACCACCTTGGTAATATAAACCCACTAATAATTGGTAATGCACTTAGCTTCAGTCAAGCATTCTTTAACTTTTTAAGACGTTTCCGATGCACCAAAAATGGAAATCCTTTACTTTTTTTTGTTTGTCTTTTTTTTTTCTTGCTTTCCATCGACCACCCAAGCTATAAATCAATAAAATTTGGGTGGGTTTCATTTAAATTACTCAATCATATAAGGTTAGTGCCCACAAAAAGGAAACGGCTTGCTCAGTCTAAATCCTTTGCAGAACCTGAAGATGAGTCCTCATTAGAAGATTTCTCCCCATTTGCTAAATTCGGCAGACTTTCTTGATTGCTTTCCTCACTGGTGCTGCCTCGATTTTTGCTTGGTCTAGGTCGAACAGTAACACCCATAGGAAAGGGCACCTGCAGAGAGAAAAGACCACAGTAAAACCAATTTCTTCTTTATCATCGTCTTATCTATTTATTATTATCATTAGTCCACAAGGTAGGTTCCAGTGTGCCCTCATGTAGCAATCCATCTCATGACACTTGAAAAGGAATGGCAAACGAGACAAAGATAGCCAATATAAATAATTATCAAGAAATTCCTTGGGCAAAAATGTGTCACCAACATCAGTCTTTCTTCAGATTGAATATTCCAACGCCAAATTTATATGCTTGGTTTAAGTTTCTCTACTTTAAAGTTTAAGTTGATGGAGCAAGCTTCGAGAACTGGTAATACCTAAATGAACCCTGGTAAGTACCCTTTTTTTTTTTTTTTTAGCTTTAATGCTGGTAAATACCTAAATGAACCCTCTTATGGTTGCATGTAGGGATATGGTTATACCTGATCACCTGCATTCGGACCATCAGTATGGAACAGTATAGGGCGGCACCTCTTATCTTCGTTCATCAAGCTTGAATTCTGGAAGTGGGCAATGAGAGCAGCTTTTCCCTGTATGCGAGCATATGCAAGTGATGCCACTTTTTCACTATTAAACTTTTCCCATTTCTTTCCATTGAATGCCTNGTTACACGTGGCGGGAAGAGAAAGGTGACAGTTGGTAGTTTTCCTTTCCCTCTTTTATCTGCACCTTGGACTTATATCAACTTCTAATCTGGGTGCGTCGAGGATGTTCTTCCGGCTCACGGAAGTCGGTGTAAACGAAACAAACCCTCTCGTTTCCTTCTCTAGCAGTAGCAAAGATCACAAGGCAAAGCTTCACCCCACCCCTGAACGTGGCACTCGATCGAACTGTGACCTTTTCAGAAAAAAAGCTTAACACTAATTCGAAGAGGCCTTTTGGGATTGGAAAATGTTATGATTACCAAAAAAATGCTGTGATACAACTTTTGTTATTAAATATTAATAAAATTCATTTATCTGATGATAAAAAATTATACCACATCATTTGAAATAAAAATTTAATAAAAAAATTTAATAAACATAAAATTACCCTTTGGGATTTTAAAGTGGGTCTAGAGCTAGAGTGATTAGAACGCCAGGCACAATGAGTTACCACCATGTTCATGAAGAGGTCTACCCTCCACCACCAGGCAACTAATTGATCTCTCCCCCCACCCCCACCCCAAACCAAAAAGAACAGAAAACAAAAGGAACTGTGATGCGTTGTGCTAATTGCTAATTGCATAAAATGGTTGTTAGTAGACTAACCAGCCTACAACCTACAACATAGTGGCACATAAGAAGATCAGAGCAGCATATGCTCTGGGTAATTACAAAATGCAAAGTATTTGATATTTCGAAGAGATTGTGACAAAGACCTGGTAACAGAATTCATACAACACAGACCAAAAAAAAAACAGAATTCATACAACTCTCCAAACTGCCAAGTAATGGTTACAAGACATCATCACTTCAAAATTCAACAAGGAGTACTCTCCAACTCCCAGAGAAAACAGTGCGAAAAACAGCAAAAACAAGAAACAAAAAAGCGAGGAGAAAATGGAATGGAAGGCAAAACCTCCTCAATGTGCAGCAAATATTCAACCAGTGCTCAGAATCTCCTATATGTAAATAACCACCTTGGTAATATAAACCCACTAATAATTGGTAATGCACTTAGCTTCAGTCAAGCATTCTTTAACTTTTTAAGACGTTTCCGATGCACCAAAAATGGAAATCCTTTACTTTTTTTTGTTTGTCTTTTTTTTTTCTTGCTTTCCATCGACCACCCAAGATATAAATCAATAAAATTTGGGTGGGTTTCATTTAAATTACTCAATCATATAAGGTTAGTGCCCACAAAAAGGAAACGGCTTGCTCAGTCTAAATCCTTTGCAGAACCTGAAGATGAGTCCTCATTAGAAGATTTCTCCCCATTTGCTAAATTCGGCAGACTTTCTTGATTGCTTTCCTCACTGGTGCTGCCTCGATTTTTGCTTGGTCTAGGTCGAACAGTAACACCCATAGGAAAGGGCACCTGCAGAGAGAAAAGACCACAGTAAAACCAATTTCTTCTTTATCATCGTCTTATCTATTTATTATTATCATTAGTCCACAAGGTAGGTTCCAGTGTGCCCTCATGTAGCAATCCATCTCATGACACTTGAAAAGGAATGGCAAACGAGACAAAGATAGCCAATATAAATAATTATCAAGAAATTCCTTGGGCAAAAATGTGTCACCAACATCAGTCTTTCTTCAGATTGAATATTCCAACGCCAAATTTATATGCTTGGTTTAAGTTTCTCTACTTTAAAGTTTAAGTTGATGGAGCAAGCTTCGAGAACTGGTAATACCTAAATGAACCCTGCTAAGTACCTTTTTTTTTTTTTTAGCTTTAATGCTGGTAAATACCTAAATGAACCCTCTTATGGTTGCATGTAGGGATATGGTTATACCTGATCACCTGCATTCGGACCATCAGTATGGAACAGTATAGGGCGGCACCTCTTATCTTCGTTCATCAAGCTTGAATTCTGGAAGTGGGCAATGAGAGCAGCTTTTCCCTGTATGCGAGCATATGCAAGTGATGCCACTTTTTCACTATTAAACTTTTCCCATTTCTTTCCATTGAATGCCTGCCCAAGCCAAAATGAATCGCCTCTGAGCTTTAGTCATCATAAGCTTCAATTGTAACAAGTGTCTAAAGAAAATTCAAAACAGTAACAAAAAAATACCCTGCTCACAGTGCATAACTAACCTGATAGAAAGGAATAATTAGAGGGGGATCAATCATGTTGATGAATGCATAACCCACGTTGCATTTGTTCTGCAACAAAATTGGATGTGCAGAAATTGAAGCCAAATTAAATTCACATATTCAAACCCTTCTCCGAACAAGATAAACGTCATCTTCCAGGTGAAAATGCACTTGCCTTGAAATCAATTGGTAAGTAGAAGAAATCATAAGTTCCACGATGGCGTTCATCAATTGCAGCCAAAAGCATCTTTGAAGTATACCTAAAATCTCACCCCATGTTAAGAATAGAATCATGTACGGCTTAGAGAAACTAAAGAAAGCTCACAGCTCCAGAAAAGATTCACACCAATTGAACCACTGAAAAATGAAATAAGGCCATCTTCTAAAAGTAATTCGATACATAATAAAATTATTTTTTCCCATCCTATCAATGGGGGAGCAAGAGACAATCAACTCAGAGTCTCAGATAAATAGCACAAGGTTTACCAGTCTAAATCAGCCTGATTTGGCTGGTCTAAACCACCATCTTTCTGATGCTCCAGATTTGAAATTCAAAGTTCTAAAGAAAAGCATGGCGCTATCTTTGATTGTGTCTAAGCATCTACTTTTTGTTATGAGTTCTAATAATCTACATGATGCAAATGTCATCAACAACCTACCATTACATCGAAAAAACTGGTCACCAGCATAGATGATACAAAACATGACAAAATGTTTTTTATCCTGTTAAGTGAAAAACATGGCATATCCAAATTACTGCCATGCTACTATTATCAGATTAGACCACCCATTTTTTAGTAAATTACAATCTATGGACATCAAAGAAAAAAAGTCAGACATTTTTTTTAACAAACAAGCTACAAACCTATTGAGAAAAGTGTTAATCACCCCATCCCCAAAACACCAAAAAAGGAAGAAGTGTTAATTTGATATAGTATCCCTTAGTGGGGTGAGCGGGTGAGTATGTGACACAAACACCAAGTGCTTAACCTATTCACCAATGCTTGATTACACTCATCCATCTTCGAAAAATCTAAAGGGATAGCCCAGCATTTCATAACTTCTTCTTCTCATCTTCCATTTACTAGCTTGATTTTCTTAACCGGATGTTAGAGAATGTATGAATTTCAAAGCAAAATGAAAAGATCAAGTTAAAGAATTAAAGCAAGGGGACATCACCATAAAAAATTACTACATACTTGTTAGGGATGTTCTTAATCATAAGTGTTGTCCGCTTATCTTCCTCTCGCACAATTCGATCAATTTCAAGTTCAAACTGCTTCTTGTTGACAGGCTTATTGGAACAGCCTTCGTTTCTACAACTCCTGGTCCAGTCATTAGGAGAATCAATTGAATTCATCATAGGAATCATTTGACCTCTTGTGGGAAATATCAGGCACCTCTGATGGGAGTTGAATCCAAAATTTGTGGAAGGAAACAGCAAGTCCATACAGTTTCCCCCAGAACCAGGAAACATGTTATGAGGAACAGGTTCTACAGGATGCGCTGCGTTAGCAGAAATCCCCAAATTTCCAAGAGAACCTGGATGAAAAACAGAAGCATCAGGGGCAGCATAGGCATGTCTGCGGTCCCAGAGAGAAGTAACAGACGGTGCCGATCCCACATGTTGGTAGCTTATGGGAAAAAGTGTGTTAAGCATATGAGATGGTGTTCTAGGAACTCCATGCAATCGTGGAAGGGGGTGAGTAGCAAATGGTGGTGAGTTTCGCCAGATCATGCCTTGAGGTTGAGGGTGATGCAAATTACTCCACATATAGTTCTGCCCAGGAGAGGGACAACTCCCATTTCCAGAGGTACCAAAAACTGAAAAAGGAAAGCAGAACATCAGAAACTGATGCAATTTGACCATTCCATTTGTGATACAAAGTCAACTTTATCAGTTTTTTCGTTCTCTTTTCTTTTTGTAGAGGTCATTTACCTAATAGACCAAATGGTTCAACGAGCTAAGTTAACAAGCATGAGAAATCAATGGAACATTGTGACTTGTGAGACATTTCACTTACCACCTTCATTCAGATCGAGTCCATTTAAGCTGACTCTGCAGAACTGCCTGTTCTCGATTCTGTCTACTGGCCTGGCAGTAATATTCACAGCAAGATTTCCAGGAGAATTGCCTGGAGCACCAGCAAAACTGTCAGGATACTCTGGAAGGGAGTGAGGATGAAAATTTGGCATGCCCTGGAATTCAAACTTGCGTTGGCCCTGTGAGTGGACTGACTCAGTAACCCTGGATTGATTGCCAACTGATGCTACTCTCACCAGAGAGGGTAAGCTGCAAGGTACACTAGACGAAATCCCATGGTGAAATGTGTTTTCCAGAAAAGGACTAACAGGGGCTCCGTTTGCAGAATGTACACCCAGGATAGTTCCATTGTCCATACTAGAAGACGTGATTCCCCCTTCAGAAACTGCCCCTGTAATTGATTATTATGAGGCAACAGAAACATAGTGTTTTCTTTAAATTCATAGCTGATAAACATTATACGCATAGGCTACCACACCAGAGAATCCGGATGTTGTTAAGTTAGTAGGGGGGCTACTATGTTGCAAATAAAGAGCAGATTCATCTTGCTCCAGCTCTGAAGCATATGGTTGCATCAAACTGCAAAAAGAAAATCATTTAATATAAGAGTGAAAGATATACAAATTATGTGTCAAAACTAGTCATAAAAACTTTCCCCCAACAAGTGAGAAAAGCAAGAAGAGGAAGCAAAGATCAGAAAAATATATGTGCAACAACATCCCACCGTCTGGCACCACCAGGATGGCTTGATTCAATCTTAATCCGCTTCCCTGCAATATCACTCCCGTTCAATACACAAAGAACAGCATCTGCATCTCTAACATCATAAAACTCTACATATTTGCGATTACTTTTGTGCGGGATTTCATGTATCTGCATCCCAGAAACAAGAATTAACCACGTCATTAACACCCCAGTTGAATATTTCAGTCTGACACAGGAAGTTGGCAAACAAGCTAACCTCCTTGATCTCGCCGTAGACACCAAAAATTTTATGGAGTTCATCATTTGAAACAGAAGAGTCAAGGTTAAAAATCACAAGAGTGCCATGGTTGATATCTTTCTCTGAAGGGTTGTCCTGATAAGATGACAGTTAAGGAAAGGAGTCAAATGACACAGGTTGTTGCACCAATAATCAGGAGATAAAGTACCAATCCAGCATGTTTACAATCCTCACGATTACGATGACCACAACAATGACTAGTGACCAACACCAGCAAGGAGATGACTAGTAAGCAGCAATAACTAATGACCACAACAAATAAGAAGCATACTTTTGGAATTGAGAAATGTATGTCGNCAGCATGTTTACAATCCTCACGATTACGATGACCACAACAATGACTAGTGACCAACAACAGCAAGCAGATGACTAGTAAGCAGCAATAACTAATGACCACAACAAATAAGAAGCATACTTTTGGAATTGAGAAATGTATGTCGAGCCTCCTATGCCTCAGAGGTTTGTCCTGGAGAGCTTTCATTGCATTTTGGGCTGCTCTTATATCATAATATGAAATCATAACAAAGCCTCGATGTTTGCATGCCGTATATAGTGTGCGGATGTCTCCATATCGCTGCAAATGGGATTCAATAATAAGGGTCAGCACTCAAGACAAAATGAGCAACAAAATATGCATGAACCACAACCTAAAATGCCCAAAGAAAAAAAGTATCAATGTATATGTATAGCACACCTCAAAAAAGGATCGTAACTCAGAATCTTCAACATTGCTATTTATGTTTCTCACAAAAAGGGTTCTAGATGGGTGTTCCCCAAAAGGCTGTTCCCCAGCAATTGAACTACTAGATCCCCCCAGCTGACCATTGGAATTTCGTCTAGTAAATTCAGAATTACTTTCTCCTGGAGATGAACCATCTTCCCCTAAGTCCATCCCTCCAACACTGCTAAAAAGGTCTAACTCTTCTGTGTCATCTCCATTATTGGGTTGGGCAATATAGTCAAGCCTATCAGTCACTCCAGAAAGTAAGTCGTCGTCATTAGGGAGGAGGTTTCCAATAGTTTGGGCCTCAATTTCTTCAATCGATTCAAAAGGCTCATCTTCCTCATAGTGTGAGGCAGCAGCTCCAAAAGAATGGCCAAATAAAGGATCGGTTGATGATAATCTCACTGCACCATAGAACCCCATTGGAAAATTGTTTTTAGCAAGTTAAACCAAAAAAAAAAAAGGACATTACAGAATGAGCAAATTATTGCATCTATAGATTAAGAAAGGCAGCAAGCAAGGAAACATTCCAGACACCCATGCAATCTGTAATAGGACAAAATAATCAACATTTCAAGCCTATCAGCTGGCACCACTAAACATCTATATAATAAGATAGCTCACAAGTTGAATTTTGTCCAATACACATTCCCCCCCCCCCCAAAAAAAAAAAAAAAATCACATCATCCATTTCTATCACATACCCAATTATTTTAATATTTGATTAATTTATAATTTACTATGTTTTTTATTTCGAACATTATCCATAATAATGGATAAACATAGATTTTAAATGATGTAATCAAATAAATGAAGGAAATAAAAATTATTATTTAATATATGGAGATAGATTTTTTTGGGCGCTCAAATTTTATATTTTATCGTACCTTCAGGTACGGGTTATGACTAGTTAACCTTCAAGAAATGAGAGGTCTTACATTTTCTGCTAAACAACTCTGACAGTGAGCTTGAAAAGAGGCTATTCTCATAGTGAGCATCCCTGGTATTAATTTTATATCCTCCCATAAAATGAGATGCCACCTGCGTATTATAGTTTGATCTTGAGCCTGTATCATCGTCAAGAGGTCTGCACAAGGAATGCCCAGCTGCTCTCTCTGCTCCCACCGAATATTTTTCTAAGCTAAGGTTAACATTCTGGTCTTGTATCATGTAAGAATCAGGAAATTCAAAGCTTTTCGCCATCTGAGAATCAGTTGAAATCCATTTCTCCAGGGGTGATGAAGAAACTGTGTTGCCACCTGATGGCCGTACTGTTCCATCCATTTGTAAACCTGGAGAAAGGAAACATTCACATAGTGTATTCAGTAGTTGAAGAATGGATGAAAAAGAAAAATTAGAACTGAACTCTATGCATTAATTTTACTCAAAGATAATGAATCTAATATAGATCTCTTTCCTTAACTAGTCTTTTTATGCAAGGGATACAATAATTGAGTACTTGATGTTTTTCTCGGCGCAATCCATTGTTTTATGAAACATAGAAAACCTCTGATAACATTGCCAGAAAACAACTAGAATAATTTTGTTATGTATGCCATGAAGTGAAGTTTAGAAGTCTTTCTTGGTCAACTAAGAAGCATGGATACGACAAGGCACNAACATAGAAAACCTCTGATAACATTGCCAGAAAACAACTAGAATAATTTTGTTATGTATGCCATGAAGTGAAGTTTAGAAGTCTTTCTTGGTCAACTAAGAAGTATGGATACGACAAGCAAATACACGCCAACGCAAAATTTTTCTAAAATGTAGGACACGGACGCGTTGTGGAACATGTTAAAAATACTATGTTTTTATTAATATTATATATATATATACACATATATATATACAATAAGATAAATATATTTTGATAATAATTCACTTCATCCTTTTCTTAATTCTAACAATTCCCATCATGATATCATCGGATAAAAAATACAATATCACATATACTGATACACACTCAGCATAAATATTCATGATCCAACAATCAATGACTACTACAATTTTTATTTTCAAAGAATCCCAAATCATAATTCTAATTTTCATCAATATCAATATCAAAAAAACTTAATTTCATAAACTACTTTTTTATCACATTGTTTTCATATAGAAAATTTATTCCATACGCATATAATTTCGTAAGCACTTCCGAAATTATGTTATATCTACGTCTATGTTGATTATAACTCTTTCTACATTTCGTCTTTGATCCATATTTCTTTAAAATAACTTCCTTAATTATAAAGGTGTTAGACAAGTTTGAAAAAAAATCTCAAAACTAGTCCTCCAATGTGTTCTTAGTGAGTCGGTCACGTGTCACCAACATATATCTAGTGTGTTGGTTGCGTGTCCAAAACGTGCCCCAAACAAAAATTAACAACAAAAATCGGACACTTATTTTAGCATGTATGAAGAATGTCCATGTTCCAGAAGTGTCCAACACAGACACATTGATCAAAATGAAGTGTTTGTGCTTCTTAGTTGGTCAAGGGTTCCAAAGATAGTACCTTGACAAAAGTCTAAAAAGAATCATGCAATCACAAATTTGACAAACAATCACATCCATCCATTCAATACTCTCAGTGTCCCTAGATTTTTTTTTCATCTTGATAAACAGCCCCATATTCAATTATGTTATTTGGCCAGGTATGCAAAATTTCCTGTTCTAGATATAAATTTATAAAGATAATTATCGTCCTATTTCTTCATCTACAATAAGTTCAAGAATATTCTTTTTCTTCATACAGGGTTGATGCCATAGTATGACACCATTTCCTGACCAATCAGGGTTAGTTTTTAGCATGTCAATGTCTCCACTTGTTCCTTCTTCTTTTTTAGGTTAGTTAGTCATGGTAATACAAAATCCTTTGGGCTTACCTAGTGATGAAATTCCAATAAGGAACTACATGATTTCACAAGTTTTTTAGTCTACAGGTTGATCTTGATGATAACTATGTGCAGCCTCCACCACCTTTCTGTGGCACCATTAGCGCACACAAGCACTACCCTTGATGCACGACACAACTTCCCAGTTCTGTATCACTGTTGGACTTTGAAATACACACAATTTTACTTTAATAAGACAATCCATATGGCTGAGTAGATTATCCCTACCCCTGCAGATTATTCTTTTGTTTGGCTGACCTAGGATAACAACAGCTATCACTAAACAAACTACAGTCGGCCAGTTTACTGTAAATTACCTTTGAACATTTTTCTTGGATATCAATCAAATGATCAGATTACCATGACATAATTAGACTCCTTTCCACCCATTAAGATAATATCATTCGGTTGGCATCCTGAACCCTCTACATGGCTAACTAGATAGGATGCATCTGGAAAACATCTAACAATCACAATTATGGAACAGTGCAAGTGTTCATGTCCACCAAATCCCACATGCATCCAAAAGTGGATTCCACTCTTAATGTATAATGCAATTAACTCTCTTAAACCATAATGTAGATTGACACTAATCCCATCCCTATGGAAAGTTTGAGAAATAGCATAATATCTCTTAAGCACTTCCAGTATTGGTAACAGAGTAAGTGGAGAGACCTTCAAGCACCTTTGGAAGATTAATGCCTCTGTATATATTTGCAATTCGTATCTGGTATGACCTTTTGTTCATTAGGAGATCCTATCATATATTGTTTGGGAACTATTCAGATAGAGTAAATGACAGATTTTTAGAAAGATCAGGTACCAATCTTTAACACCTCAGCCATTCTCCATATCTCTTGGTGTTGGCAACCAATATTCATGCCTGAATCACATTCACTTTTCCAGACCAAATTTCAAGCGACACAACTAAGTCATGAACCCTTATTTTTTCCAGTGTCAAATTCTTCTCTCTCTACCCATGTTGGATCTCAATTTTAACCTTTATCCAAAAACTGACCTTATTGTCGCCTAGAACCGAATCAGATTGTGACCTCAATTAATGTCATAGAAAATTTGAAGTCCAAAGTGGCAGAAAATCCCTTTCTACAACACAAGTGATCCTGCAAACTGCTCGATGTTTGAGCACAAAAATCACCAAATCAATCATCATATATGTAAATTCATCATCAACTTCCATATGATTCTAATCATCACTGCACAATCACCTGTAAGGGTGTGAATATTTCTTCCACTTAACACAGTTCACAAGTGCACAGAAATATGCTTCCAAAGAACTTGAGGAAGCCTGCTATAAAAATCTCACTATTTGCCTACTTTTCATTTTTATTCATATTTCAACTACCAAATCTTTGCATCCAAAAATCCAGTTATACTTCACAATTTCACAGTCATTCTTCTAACATCAGTTGAAGCATGTTCCTGCTATGATCTCTATATCAATCAAAGTACATTGCCAATAACCAATACAGTCTGCATAAGTTACTCCACAAGCCATGTTTAGTTCTGTATTTGAGATAATTCCAAGATACTTCAGATAGATATCCTAACACTCTGATCACTTGGTCTTCTTACACCTATTTTTACGCATGAACGCTTGATTTCACCTCCCACATTCTGTCCTTGATCTAGTAAACCTCCTAATTTAAATGGCAAATGGATTGACTGCCTCAGGGAAGCCTAAGTGCCCAATGCGTCACAAGTCATAAGTTCTTTACAATGAGATATGACGGCATGCTAGTTATGTATTTTGTAAGGTTGNGGCAAATGGATTGACTGCCTCAGGGAAGCCTAAGTGCCCAATGCGTCACAAGTCATATGTTCTTTACAATGAGATATGACGGCATGCTAGTTATGTATTTTGTAAGGTTTATCATGCATTGGATTGAAGACACACAAGACATATTGATAGAATAAAAACTGCTATCACCAGATGCAATAACACATATGCATCACCCAGTAGGGGCAGAGAATGCTGTTCGAATACGAACCTATCTCAGTCTGCATCAGATTTACGCAATCATGTTGTAACCTGAAAGAAGACCAATAATAGAAATGTGCTTTCAGTTGGTTAAAAGTACAGCTCAAACAACTTTTTCATTCATGACAATTATGATAGTGCTTCATAAATTGTGCTACATATTTTGCTTCACTTCTTTTCNTCATGTTGTAACCTGAAAGAAGACCAATAATAGAAATGTGCTTTCAGTTGGTTAAAAATACAGCTCAAACAACTTTTTCATTCATGACAATTATGATAGTGCTTCATAAATTGTGCTACATATTTTGCTTCACTTCTTTTCTTAAGTTTTCCACTATTATGGAGGATCATTATCTACATCACATGTACATTGATACCTAGCTTCTGGTGCCCCTATTGGGCATCACTAAGAAAAATGAAAAGAATGATAACAACAATGCCATACATCCATTATAATTGTCTAGTTTTCCATCAAACCTTTCCTTAGAACTGGCAAACATTACGGTTATAGTGAAGTTTTTCTTGAAGGCTCATGATCCAAGATAAATGTAATACCAATTAAATGTTAAAAGACTAGTTTCTACACAAAGGAAATGGTGGGGAATCTTCTCAATCAACAAACTGGAATTCTGCAATATCTGAAGGAAATCCTGAAGAATCTATGCATGCAAGACAAGAGTAATTCAAAATATCGAAGTTTAGTGACACTCAGAATACCAAAGAAAACATGGGAGATTGTAAAAGACCAGTTACAACTTAATGGTGTCCCAACAAACTGACCCCTAAAGTTAACATTGACATGATAGTCACAGCCAAACAAGATTAATATCCCAAATTAATCAACCAGATGACATTTGCTACAAATTTGTAGGCTTCAATAACATATAAGGCTCAGGCCGTTCAAGGACTAAAACAATGAAACAGCATTCCCCAATTACATAACTACCCACCACAGTGGTCAGGAATGGTTTTTGTCTTCCAAAGCCCAACTTGTCTCTGCCAAGGGTAAATATAGAAGGGATCAATGGCAAGTGGAATTAAGATAACATTGCAATAAAAAAAAACTTTAGCCAAAAAAAGAAAAACGAAAAAAGGAAGGTCCACAGTTGCAAATGAGCACAAAGAGGTAATTAATGGATCTCTAACTAACTAGAAATCTTGATTCAATAGCTTCACTAAAAAATTGAAATTGAACACTGAATGTTATCGGTACCGCATTAGGAAAACATGCTTCTTCAGAGAAGAATGATGATGAAGACAAACCCCGTGCGTTCATTATATAATATGGCATGGTGAATCCGGAACTCACAGCAGCTCTGTATCAGCTTTAAAACTGGATGCACATATCTACTGTACACAGAAGTTCAAGAAACTCCAGCTTGAAAGTAGATCTGCAAGGAAAG